GATTGTGACGGGTGTATTCATCCATGATGACAGACGCAAACAGAAGTTGACTTCTGCTCTGTTCTGCACACCTTCGTCCCGAGTGGGAGAGAAGTAAATATATGTATTATCACTCCCATCCTACTTCACAGCAGAGGAGGCATAATCTTCTCGTACATTCCTAACCTAGGTAAACGCCCCAAACGAGCAATTCCTTCAGCCATATCGATTTTTCCTGTTTTCATAATAAATACACTTTGCCGGCGTGTTGCTCATTGCTCACTCCAGAGGAAAATGTGAGTGTCCATCACCCAACTGAGAGTGTGTTGTTACTCTGTCAGCTGACCATGCCTTATGTGCTTGCCCAAACACTGCTACACCGTCGTCGTATGGGTGTCTCATGTCTGGTCAGCCACATAACAAGTGTTATCAAAGCGCTTTATTACCACGCTCCAGTTGGAGCAATTTCTTCTATTTCAGGTGTCATACGGCCTGCTGAATAGGAGCAACACCTGTAATAGGGAAGGGGACTTCTGGCGGGGACGACAGGGCGACTCAGAAGAGCCCCTCGGGTACACTATAGGGAATGGATACCCTGCTGCTATCCATCCGCCGCTCTCTCTCTCTCTCTCTCTCTCTCTCTCTCTCTCTCTCTCTCTCTCTCTCTCTCTCTCTCTCTCTCTCGCTGTATGTTCAAACTCAAATAGGATTGATTTCTTTAGTTCCTAACAGATTTGTGAACCGCAGCTAACCACATGAAACTTCACCCCCGACTACAGCAGTCGATATAAATGAACCCAGCCTCGCACTGCCAGCTAGAAGTGGGATTGATAGAAACCCCACAGCTCACATATACACACTGATGGGAACACTTTGGAATTACATGTTTAGAAGTTTTTAGAAAAATATCATTCTACGAAAAGTAGAATACTGACATTATAGTATGTCAATACATTCCACGAGAATTACAAAACTGACGATACGCGGTAACGTCTGCATCATATTGTACCTGAGTTTTTGTTTCGTCCGATACGTAGATAGAGCGGGACGGAATTGTCTTATTTTGGTGTGTTTGGAAGAGAGAGAATGAAAACACCAAAGGTACTAGTCTTCATTAGAGACTACTACCATGGGAAGTAGCGTGTTTAAATATCTGCCTATCACAAACATCCCAAGCTGGGCACTTAGGATGGATGGATGGATGGATGGATGGATGGATACGAGATATTTCAATAAACTACATTCTAAAAAATCGCAATTTAACACATTTTAACAATATGGAATTATTTTACTTTGTTATAATTTACACTACATTCTTTTGTCAATAACTTCGGGTATACAAGTAAATTATTAGTAACGTATCACGCTGTATAAAAATACATAATTTTATGTCGAATAGCAATACTACCTCCCCCTTTCATAACCGATTATATTATGAAAATATTTTAAACGTGTTTCCGAATATAATCGGTTATGAAATAAATTAAATAGAATGTGTAGATGGTTTACTCAATCATACAGTGTAGCCTTAACTGCAACAATAAGCAAGTGTTTGTATCTGAAATATTTTTGTATCTTTTGTATCTTAAATGTGTAAATGTGACAATAAAAGTTAGATAAAAATACCAACTTCAGTGTAATGTTTAATACATTTAGTATATGAAAGTAAAACAACAGTCTACCTCTTTCCACACATATATCATCTATGCGACCCATACTGTCCAGTCTGTTGCAGTATCACTTGGGCTGGTCTTACTACCTGTTTTATTACAATAACAAACAATCCTGCTATCCTTCCTCTATGGCAGCGGCGTTGTTAGTTACGAGAAGCTGTGTATATGTCCCATTATAAATACTAACATATCTATACGTATAAAGTGTATTTTAGACCCAATATCTGCAGCGCTTTACTTCAAGGTAGACACTTTAAAAAACCCATTTAAAATGTTAATTGAAAACACCATCTGTTATTTAACGAGGATGTATCTTCAAACGTAGTTTATGCATTCCGCACTCTGTGTTAGTTGTATTGCCAGGAGACTTGGAAAATCAAAATGTACATATGTTTTGGGGAGAATGCCGAAAAATGTCTTGTTGACGATATCTCGGACAAATGATCAATTTTAAGTATTTAAAGAGTCGGTGTAAGAATTACCTATTTTCTTATCCAGAAGTCAACACGTTGTTGAATTAAAAGGGATTTTGGGAGAACAATCTAATCCGAATTCGATATATATATGTATATGTATACGTATATGTATAAGTGTAATCCTCTCCACGTTATCTAACTTTATCGTCTTAGCTTTCATGAGGGCCGCCGCTAACACTCATTCACACTTTCTGAAGGGGTAGCGCTCCAGAAACACTGGAACAATTTGTCAATCTCTCTACACATATAAATTCAAATCTTCCATCAGATCACATTGATAACTTGTAAGTAGCAGTGAAGGAACTAAGTGTACAGATTTCGTTTGAGGAACATTGTAAGACCATTAGGATGGAGAGCATGGTAAATATTGGTTGAGTGGAGGTTTTTGTTGCAGCTATTGAGCGCTTGTATGGAACAGGCGCTAATCCCACCAGTAAATACTATCCCACCTGGCTCGCTGGGAGCTTCGGAAACAATCTTCCTCAAATTGCCTACGATCTCCTCTCGGTTAGTTTTTGATACATCGATAATAATGAGAATTGTGTTAGTCTAACCTTTCTTTGCGCGGAGAGATGGGGGTCAGCTTGGTTTGAGAGTAGAGGGAGTGAGTGAGCGTGCCATGGACGGTGGGGGTGGGATTAGTGAAGGTGGCACCCCTAGCGAGCAGGCAGCTGCGACAAGCGAGGTGTAGAACGGCGGACGTGCCGAGTGCTGCACCGCTCACGTCACCCAAGTTTGCAACACCGGTGTTTAATTCTCCCGAGTCTGTCCCTGCTAACTCATATACAAATTTGTAATTTTCTAAATTTTGGGGGAAAATGAATGTCTATGTAATTTTATGTTTCATGGAAAAGTATTTTAAAAGTTTCCCCGATCCTACTACATAACTACCATGTAGTCAGCATGCGTCTACTTCCGATATAAGGAACATGTGGATGGATGTAAAAATACAGAATAAAATAGATGCTAAAATATCCTTACAAAATAAGTGTTCATGTACAATATTGAATATGAAAAATAACTTTCATATGATTTCATAAAATCATTATTACATGGCGTTTAAAATGCATGGGGTAGTAAATCCTGGCTAGTCACGGGAGGGGGGGGGGGGGGGGGGGGGGGGGGGTCTGTCAGCTGCCTATAGGCGCTGTGGGAGATGTAGGAACGACTGGGATAATTTCTTGACAAGGTTGACACAAACGTATGCCCGTTGTGCAACAGTGCCCAGTCGGGGTTGACTGCCTGCATCACGAACACCACAGTCTCGTGGCTACTCTATCTGGTCGTTCCTGCAATTAGCACAGTCAAATACCATCCTGCTCTCAGGGAAATGAATGACAAATCATGTTTATTACACATGCTTGATAACACAGAAGGTGACTTAAACAAGCCATTGACAGTGAATGGAAATAATATTCCAACTTACAAAATAGTTTTACTTAATTTCTATGCGAACATTATCTGAAGAATATTTGTTTCCTTCTAATGTGTAGACTTGATTTATTTTTGTATGTATCTATGTATGCATATGATTTTAGTCATTTATATATAATATAAGACCGTAAGACATTTTAACATTTTAGCAATGCTTGTGCACGTATTGTTTTGTTTACTTATCTGATTTAAAGGGCATGAATCTTAGGCGTATGGTTCACGTGTTTAAAGCTTGTTCTTGTGTAGATTTGTATGTTTAGGGACAACAAAATATTTAACAAATTTAATTGATGTTGAAAGTTTGTGTGATGCTAATCATAATATTTCTATGAGTAACCAGGACAAAGACGAAATATTCCGATGAGGGAGAGACGACTTAAATAAGAGAATTAACATATGTTGAACTGTTTGATAGACTAAATCTAATCATAACCGAGGCTTTTTCTGTTACAAACCATATATTTTAGGACAGATCAGTCGCTTCCTACATTTCAGAAAATTATCAAAATATTACAAATGATATTTACTAAAAACAGCGTATAGAGTGTTTTGTTGTGTTGACATGGAAAACGAATTAAGTTATAGCGAAACCAAAAACAGACAAATATTACAAACCAGGTCTTACTTTCCATATAAAAAGTTCTGAAATGACCACGGAATTCAAAATATACCCATTAGCAGATTCATGTGTGTGAGTCAGTACACTCTGTTTTTTTATAAACTGAAATTAAACAATATTGTCATTGTTCGTAATTGAATAGTTTGTGTCAAATTCCAGACCATGTTTTAAATTATGACACTTCAATCCAACTTACAACAAGCTGTCACACACACAACCCTGTTATGTACAGGAGGAGCAGAACGTATTTGCTTTGATTTGACATGATGTTAACGCTTGAGCTTCAAATTGAAAATATATCCTATTTGTTGTTTCCGCCTGATTTCTTGTTGCCAGACAACACACGCACTTTACACGGCCACAAACACACGACAGACACTGACGCAAGGATTTAAAGTAAGTGAAAAGCAACAGAGACAATACAAAAACCAAAGAAATAATTCCAGGAAATATAGTTTAATTCTTGTACAATAATGTGTATACAGAGAACGTCACGAATTTAATACGCAGTTTGGCTTATAAATATATGAAATGTAATACAGATACAGGTGTGCAGGTGAAATAAACACTTACACAACGTCGTGAGTAGGTGGTTGTCTGTCACCCCCGGCTCCGCTAGACACGCTGTCTTGTCCGCCTCACAACAAATCACCTAACTTCAACACAGGTGACTAATTAAGCACTTTTCGTAATATCTGAACAATAGAACACATATATATCTAAATGTTTGTCACATATCACGAGATAATCTTCCCGTTTGATCAAAGTTCTGGCCATTACGTACCTCCAGAAGTAGTCTGTTTAGATGAGCACAACACGCTAGCCAGTAGTTTTGTCACTCACTGAAACCGGGGAGAATGAACTATCAGGCGATGAGATGAGAGTCCCGCTCGCCTTTGACAGTCTTGACGGGGGTGCATATGTTGACAGACCTGGCATGTGCGGCACGGGCGCTGCTTTCAGATGTTGATATAACTCAAGACCCCTGAGCTGGGGGTCCAGGCCCTGGAATCCTTGTAGGAAGTAGGAAGCTCGCCACGCAGCAAGAGCCGATTCCTGACGCCCGTACATGGGGTTTGTACAGGGGACCTGCCCTGTTTCCGAAGACCGGGATGTTTCCGACAGCAGTTTGTCCACCGAAAAATTTAGTCCATTCTTCTGTAAAAATCTATCAGACGTAACCGTGGCAGGTGTCATTTGTAGTGGGTAGGGGTGATATGGGAGAGGCGAGTATCGACTACCTGCCAAGCCCGGCAGTGAGTATAGGGGGGTGCAGGCAGCATACGGGTGGAGGCGGTCCGACTGGAACGGGTAGGACGGTGGGGTGAGGTGAGGAAATCCAGCTCTCTTGAGAGCAGCAAGTCGACTCCGTGATGCCAGAGTGGACCTCCGCCTGAGTTTCCCAGTGGTGCCACCAATGAACACATCGTCACAAGATGGATCAAGCATCCAATAGTTGCCCTTGCCAGGATCGTCGTAGTGTCGGGGGACCTTCACAAAACACTTGTTCAGACTTAGGTTGTGGCGAATAGAGTTTTGCCAACCTTGCTTGTTATCTTTGTAATATGGAAAGTTTTTCATGATAAACTCGTATATCTGACTTAGTGTGAGTCTCTTCTCGGGGCTGCTCCTGATCGCCATCATGATGAGAGCATTGTAACTAAATGGGGGTTTCTCGGGCTTCTTTTCACTCTTCCCCTTCTCTCCATCGTCGTTCACCCCCTTACTTTCCTCTGTCTTATCCTCCGAGAAACTCTCAGCATCGTCACTTTTGTCCATATCAGTGTCAGATATGACATCCTCACACACTCTTCCATCTTCTGTTGAAAGTGCCTCTGAAACTTCCTCCTTAACATCACTGACAACATCTACAAAAATGTTATCTCTGTCTGCGACGCTGTCATTCTGTGGGGTTCTGTTGACCACTTCCAGACTAGACTCTTCAGTGTCGCTGTCCGACTCCTCTCCAAGCATTCTTCTGATACTAAAAGGATTAAGAGAGCGTTTCAAAGACTTTGCTTTCTCTTCAAACTGAACCATATTGACGGAGGTATAGGTGTTTAGCGTGCTGCTGTCACGGGCGGACTGAAGCTGACGCCGACACTCACTGCCTATGTAAGAAGTGAAGCCCTGCTAGCAATGCTTCAGCAGGAGGCCGCGCGGAACATGTTTCATTATTGTGGTAAATTCCAGTTAATCACTGCCATTCACGGCTCCAGTAACACACAGCAACTGTTCACTGGCCCACAAACGACCAATAGCAGGACGCCATTTTGTGGCTCCACCTCCACGTTATTAGTGTGAAGTGATTGGCAGGCCGTACTGCCGGTCGATACGTGGATGGGGAAGCTGGAGAGCGCCGACGTGAGCGGGAGGCCGTACCGACTCTACCTTCACCGGATAGGCTTCATGTATGTGGATATTGTTAGGAAAGAATAGCGTGTCGCTACGTCCGTATTTGGCTTAACAACTGTAATTATAATCTAGTGGATAATATAAACAGTGCGCATTCTACGTTACAATTTGGCTGTAGTGTTCATTAGTTTCTTTTGGAGTCCAACGATGCTGCTTCTTAACGCACAGAATGAACACATTTGGATCATAAGCTTACAAATGTAGTATAATGTAACGTAATTAATTTTTGTAAAACGAATATTTTATATGATGCCAACTTCTATTACATATGGCATATGTGATATAATTTTTTACAAATGTGCTACTGTTGAGGAGCCAATAACCACGAAAAATAACAACAATATAACATTTTCCCGTATTGTTTCAGCAAGAAATATATTTTTACTCTTTAGTGCTCTACCCACTGTAACTATAACCATGAACAGTTAGTGCTGTACTCACTGTAATTATAGCCGTGAACAGTAAGTGCTGTACACACTGTAACTATAACCGTGAACAGTTAGTGCTGTACTAACTGTAACTTTAACCGTGAACAGTTAGTGCTGTACTAACTGTAACTTTAACCGTGAACAGTTAGTGCTGTACCCACTGTAATTATAGCCGTGAACAGTAAGTGCTGTACACACTGTAACTAAAACCGTGAACAGTTAGTGCTGTACTAACTGTAACTTTAACCGTGAACAGTTAGTGCTGTACCCACTGTAAGTATAACCGTGAACAGTTAGTGGTTTACCCACTGTAAGTATAACCATGAACAGTTAGTGCTGTACACACTGTAACTATAACTGTGAACAGTTAGTGATTTACCCACTGTAACTATAACCGTGAACAGTTTGTGCTGTACACACTGTAACTATAACCGTGAACAGTTAGTGCTGTACCCACTGTAACTATAACTGTGAACAGTTAGTGCTGTACACACTGTAACTATAACCTTGAACAGTAAGTGCTGTACACACTGTAACTATAACCGTGAACAGTTATTGATTTAAAAACTGTAACTATAACCGTGAACAGTTAGTGCTGTACCCACTGTAACTATAACTGTGAACAGTTAGTGCTGTACACACTGTAACTATAACCGTGAACAGTTAGTGCTGTACCCACTGTAACTATAACCGTGAACAGTTAGTGCTGTACACACTGTAACTATAACCGTGAACAGTTAGTGCTGTACACACTGTAACTATAACCGTGAACAGTTAGTGCTGTACACACTGTAACTATAACCGTGAACAGTTAGTGCTGTACCCACTGTAACTATAACTGTGAACAGTTAGTGATTTACCCACTGTAACTATAACCGTGAACAGTAAGTGCTTTACAAACTGTAACTATAACCGTGAACAGTCAGTGCTGTACCCACTGTAACTATAACTGTGAACAGTTAGTGCTGTACACACTGTAACTATAACCGTGAACAGTTAGTGCTGTACCCACTGTAACTATAACCGTGAACAGTTAGTGCTGTACACACTGTAACTATAACCGTGAACAGTTAGTGCTGTACCCACTGTAACTATAACCGTGAACAGTTAGTGCTCTAACCACTGTAACTATAACCGTGAACAGTTAGTGCTGTACACACTGTAACTATAACCGTAACAGTTAGTGTTGTACACACTGTAACTATAACTGTGAACAGTTAGTGCTGTACCCACTGTAACTATAACCGTGAACAGTAAGTGCTGTACCCACTGTAACTATAACCGTGAACAGTTAGTGCTGTACCCACTGTAACTATAACCGTGAACAGTTAGTGTTGTACACACTGTAACTATAACCGTGAACAGTTAGTGCTGTACCCACTAACTATAACCGTGAACAGTTAGTGCTGTACCCACTGTAACTATAACCGTGAACAGTTAGTGCTGTACACACTGTAACTATAACTGTGAACAGTTAGTGCTGTACACACTGTAACTATAACTGTGAACAGATAGTGCTGTACATACTGTAACTATAACCTCCAACAGTTAGTGCTGTACACACTGTAACTATAACCGTGAACAGTTAGTGCTGTATCCACTGTAACTATAACCGTGAACAGTAAGTGCTGTACCCACTGTAACTATAACCGTGAACAGTTAGTGCTGTACACACTGTAACTATAACCGTGAACAGTTAGTGCTGTACCTACTGTAAATGTAACCGTGAACAGTTAGTGCTGTACACACTATAACTGTAACTGTGAACAGTTAGTGATTTACACACTATAACTGTAACTGTGAACAGTTAGTGATTTACACACTGTAACTATAACCGTGAACAGTTAGTGATTTACACACTGTAACTATAACCGTGAACAGTTCCTGCTGTACCCACTGTAACTATAACCGTGAACAGTTAGTGCTGTACACACTGTAACTATAACCGTGAACTGTTAGTGCTGTACACACTGTAACTATAACTGTGAACAGTTAGTGATTTACCCACTGTAACTATAACCGAGAAGAGTTAGTTCTGTACACTCTGTAATTATAGCCGTGAACAGTTTGTGCTGTACACACTGTAATTATAGCCGTGAACAGTTAGTACTGTTTACACTGTAACTATAACCGTGAACAGTTAGTGCTGTACACACTGTAACTATAACCGTGAACAGTTAGTGCTGTACACACTGTAACTATAACCGTGGACAATTAGTGCTGTACACACTGTAACTATAACCGTGGACAATTAGTGCTGTACACACTGTAACTATAACCGTGAACAGTTAGTGCTGTACACGCTGTAACTATAACCGTGAACAGTTAGTGCTGTACCCACTGTAACTATAACCTTGAACAGTAAGTGCTGTACACACTGTAACTATAACCGTGAATAGTTAGTGCTGTACCTACTGTAACTATAACCGTGAACAGTTAGTGCTGTACCCACTGTAACTATAACCGTGAACAGTTAGTGCTCTAACCACTGTAACTATAACCGTGAACAGTTAGTGCTGTACACACTGTAACTATAACCGTAACAGTTAGTGTTGTACACACTGTAACTATAACTGTGAACAGTTAGTGCTGTACCCACTGTAACTATAACCGTGAACAGTAAGTGCTGTACCCACTGTAACTATAACCGTGAACAGTTAGTGCTGTACCCACTGTAACTATAACCGTGAACAGTTAGTGTTGTACACACTGTAACTATAACCGTGAACAGTTAGTGCTGTACCCACTAACTATAACCGTGAACAGTTAGTGCTGTACCCACTGTAACTATAACCGTGAACAGTTAGTGCTGTACACACTGTAACTATAACTGTGAACAGTTAGTGCTGTACACACTGTAACTATAACTGTGAACAGATAGTGCTGTACATACTGTAACTATAACCTCCAACAGTTAGTGCTGTACACACTGTAACTATAACCGTGAACAGTTAGTGCTGTATCCACTGTAACTATAACCGTGAACAGTAAGTGCTGTACCCACTGTAACTATAACCGTGAACAGTTAGTGCTGTACACACTGTAACTATAACCGTGAACAGTTAGTGCTGTACCTACTGTAAATGTAACCGTGAACAGTTAGTGCTGTACACACTATAACTGTAACTGTGAACAGTTAGTGATTTACACACTATAACTGTAACTGTGAACAGTTAGTGATTTACACACTGTAACTATAACCGTGAACAGTTAGTGATTTACACACTGTAACTATAACCGTGAACAGTTCCTGCTGTACCCACTGTAACTATAACCGTGAACAGTTAGTGCTGTACACACTGTAACTATAACCGTGAACTGTTAGTGCTGTACACACTGTAACTATAACTGTGAACAGTTAGTGATTTACCCACTGTAACTATAACCGAGAAGAGTTAGTTCTGTACACTCTGTAATTATAGCCGTGAACAGTTTGTGCTGTACACACTGTAATTATAGCCGTGAACAGTTAGTACTGTTTACACTGTAACTATAACCGTGAACAGTTAGTGCTGTACACACTGTAACTATAACCGTGAACAGTTAGTGCTGTACACACTGTAACTATAACCGTGGACAATTAGTGCTGTACACACTGTAACTATAACCGTGGACAATTAGTGCTGTACACACTGTAACTATAACCGTGAACAGTTAGTGCTGTACACGCTGTAACTATAACCGTGAACAGTTTGTGCTGTACACACTGTAACTATAACCGTGATCAGTTAGTGCTGTACCCACTGTAATTATAGCCGAGAAGAGTAAGTGGTTTGGTTTATCCACTGCAGCTATAGTCGTGAACAGTAAGTGCTGCACACACTGTAACTATAGCCGAGAAGAGTTTGTGCATATTAAAGTAAATGTGAACAGAATTTATGTTTGCTACAAGAGATGAATAGTAAGTTTACACTACCGTTTTGCTTACACTTCGATTACAGGAATTTTTTTAATGGCCAACTCCATGGATTACAAAATTTAAACGACGAAGAAATCATTCCCGTTTAAACAAGAAATATGATAAAACATAAATATTCAATTTAGCCGCTTCTGAAAACATTATAAATGTTTGTAACACTCTCACAAAGCTATCAATTAATCTCATCAAATCCATTCGCCACTTCTGTTACTAAATACGGGTAATTTAGCGTAGGGTCTTCTGTCTGGCTGAAAGGAGGGACTCATGATGATGGCCCC